TATTTGTAAATTTTCGTTAGTGGGTCGTAGAAAAAATATACTGTACAACTGGATTGTCCACATCCACTTTTGTTGCACAAACTATTCCGTCGCATGCGATGGCGACCATGCGTCGCTAGTCAAATGCGGCGCCCAACACACAGTTTCAGGAATTGGGTTCCAGGGCCGTTGTGTGACTCTCAAGACATGCTGTTCTCAGTATATAAAACGTACAAGTGGACAGACAGCGAAAGCTTAACCCATACAAAAAGTTTTAAGAGGAAGAGAAGAAGAAAGTCATTAAAGTATCTACAGTACAATAAGAAATCAACAACTTGGTAGCCGACGAAAATAATGTTTGAACAGTATTCAAGATAATAAATAATTTTTTGGGCATAAAGAGCCCCAAGAAGTTTTTTTATGTTTTAATATACTAAGAATGAATAAAACAGTTGGTTAGGCTGACGAGTTATTATTAAATAAATGACTGTATTAGCTCTCTATCACTTTTTCAACAAGCTAAAATCGGTGGTTATTCAGTAATAAGTTTGATTAGGAGAAGCACCTATTTAGACTAAAGAATTGTAATTTATTACCATAGGAAGTGGCAAAAATAATAAAGTTTTTATAAAGCACCAAGTTTTGTAGCTGGAAATAAATCCATGTTGCTCATTATTGATTAAAGAATGAGTGCCCCATGATAATTTTTTAAAATAATACAATCTAGTAACTTAGGAATCTCTGACTGAATGCAAATAGGCCTATAATTTGTAGTATAATCCTTGCCGTCACATTTGTAAATTGGACAAAGAAAGCTTTCCTTCCAGAAAGCAGGAAATACACCCGAAAACAATGTTAAATTGAATAAATAGTACAAAGGTTTTTAGTGTAAAAGTAATTGTTTTTAGTAAAAATAGTGAAATACCATCAGGACCATAGGAAAGCTTATAAGGTTTGGGCATAAAATTATCAATAATCTCCTTAATATCAATATGGTAGAAACGTCAACATAATTATTTTTATAAGTGTATACTGGTATTTGGTTAGGTTGTCAATACACTCGAAAAATAAAAAGCAAAAAAAATATTAACAATGTCTTTATTATAATTAGCCTGTTTTCCTTCATAATGCATGGTAGCAGGTAAACAGTAACTAGACCTTTTGTTATTGTAATATTTCTAGAAATGTTTGGGGTCAGACATATTATTTTGAAGTTTGGATATAAATCGGTTAAAGCATGCATTATGTACTTTTGAACAGCAAGCTCTAAGTTCAGAATTGTTGATAATTAATTTGCCCAAAGTTTTATAACATTTATGAAAGTCTTTTCCGAGGTATTTTCTTTTGTTTAATTAAATTTATGCTTTCACCAGAAAACCAATGGGGATAATTGGAGGTTCTAAATCTTTTGATAGGTAGGTATAAAGGTGTATGGCTTGGTAAAATATATCATAAAATTTATTAGAAACCATGTTTTTAGACTTAACATGGATTCGATTTTATTATATTCAGTGAGGTTGTAGTTTAACTTGTATAAAACATATGGCAGAAATTTGAGCTGAACTTGCTCCAATTTGTTAATATGTATATTATAGTAAGGTGACCATAAACAAGAAACATATTCAAGGTGAGGTCTAACTAATGATACATATAAAAATGTTATTGCAAATATATTTGAGAAGTCTTGTGTATTACGTTTAATGAAACTGAGCATTTTAAGAGATTTACTTTTCGTTAAGTTGCTGTGGGGAATGAACTTAAATTAAGTGATTTGTCAAAGGTCACACCTAGATCCTTTATAGTCTCAACTTTCTGCATATGAATATCATTTATAACATATACATCGATGAAATGGTTTCTCGTCCGTGAAAAAGATATAGTAAGACACTTGTTAATATTGAGTTCCATCAAATTTTTATTACACCACACAACAAGACGTTTTAAGTCCTGTAACCTACCGCACCCAGGTACCTTAATAATTTATTAATTCCATTTATTAAATATAATATTGCATTCTTATTAAATTCAAATTCCTTCATTTAACGAAAAATCTCCCTGATAGTTAAATCTTATTTACGAATACCTAATAAATAATATCTATAACCACGTCCGTAAAATATCCAAATTTCGTGCACGTGTCTGGCAATCTAGATCATAAAACATTTCTTTTCACGAAGTAATCAACATTAAAACACTTAACTCGCTTATCTTTCTAGTTTCAATTTTAAGACCGATTTCGACAATATTTCGATAAACAAAGATCTCAAGCCACATAATAAATAAGCCACCCCCTTTTGCACCCACATTCGTATTTCTCTGGGAACTAAAACATACAGAGATGTCACAAACGCCATTAACTTTAGTATAAGAAGTCAGACCCAAATGAGCTCGTATTCATTCATTTGTTATTATTTGATGTGCAAGCATTCATTTATTATTTGTACCCAGTTATATTTCAAGTTCAGTAGTCAGTACCTTTCCTAAAACGTTCTTCCTAAACAACGTCTATCCTAAAATATCTCCTATTCCCGAACGCTGTCAACTTCCTACGCCTTATTTCCGACGCTTGTCGTCCCTAATTATTTCCTTCATAATATCCTTGTCGACACCCTTCGTCACGTCCTGCACCACCTACATAATTCTACCGTATATCTGTCCCAATGCAGTACCGTATTAAATACCTTCCTTTCCACCACGACGCTAGGCGCCTCGACGCAAGGCGACTCTCAACGCTGCGACGTACCTAAATCGACGCCGTAACAACGCTAGATGAAATTATTACATAATCTAATGTCTGTATTTTCAATGGTGAGTCAAAAGATTTATGTAACTTTCTTTGAGATACCACCAGGGTTTCGTTTAAACGTAGGGCTTGACATTTGCTTTAAAATATTCTCAATGTCACCAATAAACCACATGGCCTTCAGGTTAGGATAAACATCTGTTTTTGAAGGGTGAAATTTTGAGTATTTCAATAGAAATTATAATAATCAATATTAAAAAAATATACAGGGTTGTATTAAGTCATTAAATAGAAATTATAAAAATAAATATTTTAGAAATATACGGGGATGTGCTATCTTGGATAAATTTTACAAACCAAGAGGTAAAGTTTAATAGTTAAAAGTTAACCAACTGGTGATTACACTGTTCGTTAGCTCAAGGGGGGACACCTATATGCTAAGCAACCCGTTCTACTAGGTTTGAAACAAAGTATATGTGAAATCAACATAGTAAAGTAAACAACTGGCGATATTGGCGCTGTTCGTTACTTCCGTTGGTCAACACCTCTATACTCGTCGAAATATTTACCTAAGAGGGTGCAACCTGTGTATATCTAGAATAGAATCAAATCAACATCAACACAATAGTTAACTAACTGGCAAATTGGCGCTGTTCGTTAACTCCGTTGGTCATCAACTTAAATAAGAATATAAACATCAACACAGTAGTTAACCAACTGGCGAGTTGACGCTGTTCGTTAACACCCTTGGTCCTCAATCTAAATAAAATATATATATATTGATACCAAATGAATATGGTCTGCATTTGAACGGGACTCAAGTGAGATCTCCATAAATAGTAATATACTTTGCTAATTATTGCATCACATGTAAAGTATGAAAAATAAAAGAGTTTAAATATAAATTTGTCTGGTTTTATTTATCAATTTGCACCAAACTTTTCATCGAATCCTGGTTTACCTTAATTAATTAACATCACTTCTACTACACGAGGAAAAAGGCCAAATACAGTAAGTATATAATAAAAATATATATAAAATAATCGTGAGGTAAATAATAACATTTCAAAGAGTAAAACAACGAACAAAGAAGGGGTACCGAGGGTGGGCAGTTACAGTCCTCTTGTAGATTTAGACTATCACTAGCGCTTTGAATAGTTTTATATAATTTTAAATCATCTGCAAAAAGCAAACACTTTGAATGGGAGAAGCACTCCTTTATGTCGTTAATAAACAGGTTGAAGAGGATTGGCCCTAAGTGTGATCCTTGAGGGACACCTGATGTTACCTTTATCTCTATAGATTTGAAATTAGCCATCCTTAGAGAAATCCGTATAGATTGCATTTACCTGAACTCTTAAGACATTAGATAGATAATCATGGTGGATTTGCTCAGTGGATTTGGAAGACTGGAACGCATATTTTTGGCCAATTAAAACATTTTTAAATAAAGGGGAAGAATGTCACAAATACAATTCGCAAAAAGTACAGTACTAAGGATACTAATTGGATAATAGTTAGACATTAGACTTATCTCCACTTTTAAAGATGGGAGTTATATAGCTTGTTTTCCATGTACTAGGAAAAATGCCAGTCCTCAGGGACTATTAATATAAATGCTAATGTCTGGTACAATAAAAATTGTTTCATAGGTAACCATTTTAATTACAATTGCATATTCTTAATTAGGTGTAATTAGATCTGGACAAAATAATCATTATGGCCAGATTTTGTGGGTAACAAATTTCTACTTTAATTTTATTCAAAATTTTTATTTCCACTTAATGTCTAGTAGGTATGTTATTACCTGATATATAAGAGAAATAGCAATGGCCCTAATATGCTGCTACCCTGTGGTAGTTGAGATTGCTAGAATTCTCCCACTTACATGTGAATCCCTAAACAAACAAATCTTGTCAGAGGGACTATCTAACTAGACTAATGAGAGCATAATGTGATTTTGGTTTTAATTAGTATTCCTAAATTCATAAATTATCTAAGATTCCATAAGATCTTATCGACTTAATTGTCCCGTTAGTTAATGGACTTTTAATATTAATTATGAAATCGGTCCTTAAGGTACTAGACAAGGGTTGATATTGTTCAGAGAAATGTTTTTATTTATAATCTTTTACTGTATAGTTATCGTATTTTTTCTGTACTTCTATCGATTTCTAGTTTCACTATAGAAATTGTGTTGAATATACGTATAGGTATTTTTGCATAATTTGTTGATTTACATAAATATTTAATATTTTATTAAAAAAAATCTACTTACCATCTTAGACTGACGGTGGTCATAACAAGAGCAGGTAAAATTAAAAAAGTAAGAGTGAGCGCGAAATACACCCCATAACTGTTAATTGAGTAAAAATATAACAATATGCAAGTTAAAACCAAATCTAGGACATAGGTTATGATCGATAGGGCGATACAAACAACATAAAAAGCTCCGAAACGTCCACATTCCGTAAATTTATCGGGACTGTCTCCTTGCTTTAAATTTTCTATTTTTGCAAGAGAGGAATCCCTTGAAAATCGCACTACTGTGCAATCTTCTGCCATCGCATAGTAAAATAAACGACAGCCTAAAATAACTGCACTACGTCTTCAACTATTTTACAAATTAGCTGCACTATAATCATTTTAAAAACATTTAATTATGTTCTGTGTCGTTTCGAAAACTTTTTAACAAAAATTAAAATTACGAACTTCGGAAAACCGAAAACTGTACGTGACACACTGTCACACATGAACAAATCCACAATACCAAATAAATAATTTGTTTGACAGACACACAGGTGACAAGCAGTGTTGCCGACGCAAAAATTAAAATGATCCGAATGTCGAACATTCGATCATGATCGAATAGAGGACTTCTATACAAGGGAAGTGCAACCAACTTGACAAATTTTTTTGACACTAATGACATAAGAAATCGGGTCACATAAAGATGCTGTTTTTTTGTAAAATTTTTGGTTTTTCTTATCTACTTTTATGCCGTTTAGATAGTGTTAGCTCCCATACTTTTCACAATTTATGTAAATGAACTTCCAGAATTACTTTACCATGCATTCACAATTCTCTATGCAGATGATTCGACTTTCTTGTTTTCTGATCCCATTGAAGAACAATTGAAAAATAAAATCGATAGGTCAATTAAAATATTCTCGGAATGGGCTAGTAATCTCTCATTATTATTTAATATTACAAAAACTAACTACATTTATTTCCATACATACCAAAATTCTAATATACCTTGTCTAGATATGTCTGTAAACAACACACACATAAATACAGTTGATTCCACAAAATTTCTAGGAATAACATTCGATGAAAATCTATCGTTTAAAACTCACTGTCAAAATTTAGCGACAACCTTAAACTCACAATGTTTTCAACTTCGTAACCTTAAATGCATTTTAAAACCTCACCATCTTCGTCAAATTTACTTCGCAAATGTACATTCTAGGTTGATTTATGGTATCTGTGTATGGGGCGGATCATCCCATGCTAATGAAGTATTTATATCTCAGAAGAGAATTATAAGATGCTTGGCTGGTATTCTACCAACAGATTCCTGTCGCCCTCTATTTAAAAAACTTAAAATCCTTACCGTATTCGGAGTATATATTTTAGAACTTTTAATATACATATATAAAAACAAATCGAATTTTAAACGTAATAGCGACTTTCATTCATATAGCACCAGGAACAAAGATGAACTTGTTCCTCTGTTAGCACAGCTAAATATTTGTGCTAAGTCACCAACAATTCTTGGAATAAAATTATTCAATAAACTGCCACAGAGCATAAAAAATGAATCAACATTAAAAACATTTAATTATCGAATAAAACAACAGCTTTTAGAAATATGTCCATATTCAGTGCAAGAATATTTTCAATATAAATTTGTACCACATGCTTCACCACCAAACTGTTCTAGATAAATTTATACAAATGCCCCTTTTCGCCTACCATTCTACGTTTGTCTCTTCTATATTTGTCTGTATTGTTTTGTTTAATTACTTTTATTTATTGTATACACCTTTATATTTATAATTCTGACGTGTCCAATAACATTATAACTGTTTAAATGGATTAATAAAGAATAGAATAGAATACCATGTTGTACCCGTAACGTAAAAAAGACTTTTTATTTTAGGGTATTTTCCATTTAAAGGTTGAAAACATTTGTCAATATTAGCTGTCGATAATGTCAAAACATAAGCGTAGCATTGCATTTTATTTTTTATTGTTAATAGTCTATTTGTGTTTCTCCTGCTTTCTTGAAACATTTTTTGTCATTTGGTTTTACTTATTTATGTCGATTGCAAAATGCTGCTGCAACGAATACAAGTTCTATACAATATACAACCAACATACAACACTAGTTACGTTGTGCCCATCTATTGCCGCGTTTGAGAATCCACATCGGATGCATCTGAGATATTGTGAATTTTTTATCACGTGATAGAGAATTAGATCTAAATGTAGATGTAATAAACAAACGCTCTAGACTTTATTTGGTCACGTGATAAAATGTCAATGACAAGTTAGAAGTTTATACTTATTAAATTTGACTGTTGAGACTACAAATCAACCTAAATTTGAAATATAAACAAAAATTAAACAAACTAATCACTTTTATATTCATAACAAAGGATAAATTGACAAACAAGACTTCACAGAACACTTACTTTCTGGCATGGAACGAACATCTCATTCACATCTCATTTCAAATCGAGATGTAAAAAATGTAATCTGAATAGGTACATCTGGGATAAACAAACGCAGATGTAGATGTAGTAGATGTGTCCGATGTGGATAAAAAAACGCTCGAGATGTAAAAAATGCATCCGATGTGGATTCTCAAACGCGGCATATGGTTACGCTTGTGTTCTATCACCATAATTGACAGCTGACAATGACAAAATGTTTCAACCTTTAAATGTAAAATACCCTAAAATAAAAAGTCCTTTTCACGTTACGGGTACAACAAGGTATGTAAATGGCATAAAAGTATATAAGAAAAACGAAAAAGTAAACTAAAAAACAGCCTCTTTATGTGACCCGATTTCTTATGTCATTAGTGTCAATTTTATTTTGTCAAGTTGGTAGCACTTCCCTTGTATAGAAGTCCTCTATTGTCGAACTGTCGAACTGAAATTGTCCGAAATTATCCGAACTCAAAATTAGGCTGTGATCACTGATCATGTTAACATAATATTATATCCGTTGGTAAACTGTTTAACGGATACACTGTGGTATTACGTTATTTTATAATATAAACAGGACATCGATCAGCGAGCACTCTAATCTGCCGATCGCATTCAATGAACTGGAGTGGGGTAGAAAGCCAATGTGCATATTGTATCAATAGAACAAGATGTGCAGCCATTTTTATTTCTTATCTCACTCAGGAGTATTTATAATAACCATTTTCTGTTTCACATTGTTATTGTTCAATCCACATGCTGCTGGATCAGACAATAACAAAGTGAAATAGAAAATGGTTGTTATAAATACTCCCGAGTGAGATGAAAAATAACCTGTCTTTGCCCATAGAGTCGCATCCAATGAACTGGAGGGGGGTAGAATGCCAATGTACATGTACTAATTAGAACAAGGTGCGACTCGATGGGCGCAGCCATTTTTATTGTGTATCTCACTTGGGACTATTTATAATAACCATTTTCTGTTTCACATTGTTATTGTTCAATCTACAAGCTGGTGGATCAGACAATAACAATGTGAAATAGAAAATGGTTATTTTAAATACTCCCGAGTGAGATGAAAAATAACCTATCTTCGCCCATAGAGTCGCACATCAAGTCTATTGACAAGCATTCTACCCCACTCCAGTTCATTGGTCGCATCTCAAGCCCATTCTACCCCCCATTCCAGTTCATTGCTCTTGCCTCGTTCGTATAGTAATCAAAGTATGTGTTGTCAATAGGCTTGAGATGCGACTCTATGGGCAAAGACAGGTTATTTTTCATCTCACTCGGGAGTATTTATAACAACCATTTTCTATTTCACTTTGTTATTGTCTGATCCAGCAGCATGTGGATTGAACAATAACAATGTGAAACAGAAAATGGTTATTATAAATACTCCTGAGTGAGATAAGAAATAAAAATGGCTGCACATCTTGTTCTATTGATACAATATGCACATTGGCTTTCTACCCTACTCCAGTTCATTGGAACCACATACTTTGATTTTCTTTTACTATACGGAGAATGGTCGCACTGCGCAGCTTTCTGAGTGCCTTTTGAAAGGAGATAGAAAACTCCGCCATTTTGAACCTTTATTGCGTGTTGCCTACATCTTGGCGCAATATTTTTAATAGGTGCGTTTTAATCATCCGCTTCTGCTTCGGAATTGTCGCTTTTCTTGTTTTAATCCAGACTTTTCTAAAGCCTTCGATCAAGTCAATCACGAATTACTATTACTCAAACTGCAAGCCTACGGATTCCCTCCCTTTCTTCTAGAGTGGCTTAAAAGTTATCTCATTGGTAGAGTGCAGCGTGTCAAAATAAAGAATTATTTGTCTGATCCCATAAAAGTTTCTTCTGGTGTACCGCAAGGGGCCCACTTAGCTCCATTACTTTTTAATCTATTCATTAATGATGTTGGATCTGTTTTTGAATATAGTAATTATCTGCTATTTGCTGACGATTTAAAGATTTACTTAAAGATTAACAGTGGTGATTGCTGTAATAATATTGAAAAAGATTTCCATGCCTTATGTAAATGGTCTTCCTCTAATGGTCTAACCCTAAACACTAGTAAGTGTTACTGCATTACTTTTACAAAAAATCATAATCAAATAACACATAACTACTCTCTGAATAACAATACATTAATTAAACGTGTTACCGAAATTAAAGACCTGGGAATCGTGTTTTGCTCAGATCTTTCGTTTAATAATCATATCAATCTTATAGTTAATAGAGCAATGAAAATGTTAGGCATGCTGATAAGAAACTCTAGATCGTTATCTTTAGATGCCTGTAGAATGGTTTATATTGCATATGTGCGGTCCATTTTGGAGTACAGCTCTACCATATGGTGTCCATTTTACATAAACTCTGTAAAAAGGATTGAAAATGTCCAAAATAAATATCTACGATATTGTGCCTTTAAAGTTGGTCTAGCAGCAGGTACATATAATTATTCCACAATTCTGGATTTAATAAACCTCCCAACCCTTGTTAATAGAAGAATATTGATGGATCTATCATTCCTCCATAAGATCATAGCCGGGATTATTACTTCTGATGAGTTATTAGCTATGATTGAATTTAGAGTTCCCACAAGAACTACAAGAAATAATAGTTTATTTGCCATTCAACTTCACCTTACCAATTATGCTTATCATGCACCTCTACCTAGACTAATGCGACTGGCTAATCAATACAATTTAGACATCACTGGGTGTTCTATTAGTCAATTTGTGAATGATGTAAAGAGAATTTGTTTTTAATATCTTTAGTTTAGTTTATTACATTTCATATATGAAATTTTAGATTTATTGTGCCTACCTTTTTTTTTTTTTTTAATGTACTTAAGCTATTTTATTTTATGTAATTTATTGATACTAATGGATTATTCCGTAATATATATATTTATTTATTTAATCTGACAGATTAAAACGACTAAACCGACAATTCCGAAAGCAGAAGCGGATGATTAAAACGCACCTGATATTTTGCTTGCTGCTGTCAGTGTCAGTGAATATTATTTTTGAAGTCACAGTTTATTGCTAAAGAATCAGTTAGCTCACTCGGACCAGTTGAAAGTTCCAAAATAACATCCACTCCAGGGATACAAATTCAGGATACGCAGAAAATTGCTGTTTTATTATAGGCGGTTGTCATATATTGTATTATCCGAGTTGCACAGTGTATAAACTGAAACATTGAGATCAAAAGTGCCGACGCAGAGTGAGCGATCTGATTCTTTAGCTGAAAACTGTGTCACAGGGTTAAAAATGTGTCGGACCTCTCTCTTGCCTAGTATAGTAATCGTGTGATTGGAACAGACGCAATAGATGTAATCTGTGCGCAATAGTAGCCCAATTTGACTATGTTCCAGGGTGAGGGGCGTGGTGTTGTGCGGGGAAAGGTTTCATCAAACGTGGCAAATATTGTACTTTAAAATTCATTTTGAAAAATTTTGGATGGAGCCGGTTTTGCAAGTAGACTCAAAGGAATAATAGTTCTATGTTTATCTGTTCTTCGTTTTTTTACGAATATTAAAAAAAGTTGAAAATTTCCCGCAGATTTTATTTTTGTGAAAATGTTGTTTATTTGAATGACTTCTATACAGTTACAAAAGTATCAACTTAGGATTCACCCTGCATAGATAGGATTTAACTGAAGCAATGTTCGTTTATTTATGAAAACAATGAAAGCATGGCTCAAGAATGTGGATACCAATATCCTCACCGATCAGTCTTAAAGGAGCTGCGAAGTTTTCCTATCTCTAATGAAAAATGTCATCCTCAGCCCATTTAAATTTCGACACATATAACTATAATCTGCTTGAACTAAATAAGCTTAAATTCATTTGCACCATGAATATCAGAGAAATTACTTTTTAAAGTTTGAACAGTCAATACCAGCTAGGAGATTCGGAAAAACATTTATATTAAAAACTGTGTTTGTTGTTCTGTAGTTTGGAACATTTTATTTATTTAATACAATTTTATATTATTAATTGAAAAAATCCAATTTATAATTTAGACTTAACTAGATGAGCTCTCAAACAGTACCAGTCATTATATTTTTAATATTAGTTGTAAAATTCCTAAAACATAATTTTATTATTTATTGCTGTAAATTATAATAGAAATACTTACTTCGAACTAATTGGTTCTCCTGGAATGTAGAAAGGGTTACTAACTATATCGGCATACTCTGAATGTATTTTTCTAAACATCTAAAAATTATTCTTTTAAAGTCATAATTTATAGAAAAACAAAATATAGCTTACTGATCTAATTTCATTATCTCGTAAAACCATGTTGGTTGAATCTACTACGATTATAAACTTAATTTTAGTATTTGTTACATATCCATAACTGCAAAATAAAGATTTTTTTAATTGGAATTGGCTATATTAAGAAAATATTACATTTTATGGGCTTCCAGGGAAAGTAACATTCCCAAGTATAATTCTTTTGTATCCGCTCCTCCTTTTACTCCAGAATTCAACTTGTCTTCTACAATATCTAAAGATGAAAGTACTCTATACTGAAATTGTAGTTCTTCATCGGGATTTATTGTAACAAAAAATTTCGGAGAATTCTGAAACAAGGTATATGCGGTGTGACAATTTAAAAACTTACAATGGGCGGTAATGTTGTAAAAGAGAACTCACCCCCATCAACCCCCAGTTACCCCAACTAAAAAGTTTAAATAGCAACCCGCCTACTTGTGGTACATTATTGAAAAGCCTATAAAAAATGCTATCAAATGGTATAAATAATAATTGTACAGGGTAAATCAATAATTGTGAAACCTTGCCTTAAAAGGAAAATTTAATGAAGTTTTTGTTAAACTACAAATTTGTGAGTTCTCTTTTATGTCATTTTAGTTCCCCCTTCCTATCTTAGAAACGATTTTAAGCTTCTTTTGTTTGTGAGGTAAGTTTTTAAATGGTCACACCATATATTAAATCATTATTTCGGAAAATTAAATTGTATTTCGAGGTCCGTATTTATAAACAGAACTCAGCTGAGTCGGACTTGGGTAAGTCCGTCCTTCAACTAAAATCGAAGTTCGGTTATATAGCGTGAATTTAGAGATGGGTAGTAACAAATCCGTAAATGTACATAATAGTTACAGATTTGCTAATATCCATCTCTAAATTTCAGTGTAACACCGGAACCACCTGGAACTTTATAGACGTAACCGAACTTCGATTTTAGTCCGACTCAGCTGAGTTCTGTTTAGTAGTTTTCCTTTGACGTATGGTTCTGGTTATGGTTGACGTTAAATTGACAGTATTTTTGACAGCGGTTCAGATTTTGGTTCATATGGATGACGTCATAACAAAAGCCAATGGAATGAATTGGGTTATTGGTTCGGTCAGTCATATGTCATTTTGGTGTAAATTTAAATACCACGTGTGACCAATGAAGTGGAGAGGGGTAGAATGATAACTGTCAATGAAAAAGTCTGGACACTATGCACAATTTCGTTTTGCACATTTTGTAAACAAAATTCAGGGACGGTTTAACAACATTTTGTGCAACAATTATAAAATAGTGCATCGAAAAATAATTAACAAGTATAATTTAATACTAAATCGGAATAAAAGCATAAAAAATCATAAATATAAGCAAGATAACAAAGAATTGACGCCAAAAAAGCTTACAACAGCCAAAACACAAACAAAAAACAGAGCTGAACATGAACATAATCGCTGAATAAAGTCGATCCTGGAATTTGTTTACAGTGCTTTAGTGCAACCTCTCCTTATCATTTACGTGTGTAAGAGTGGAAGGCTGAATCACGCATAATTTCTACACTCGTGATGGATGCGCAGACGGTACCTTATCGTTCTACCCTCTCTACTTCTTTGCGTGTGACTCATTTTTAAAGTTATTTCTCAATTTTATTTTCTTTTAATTTTTTGTGTAGTTAGTTATTTGCCAAAGAAAACACTAAAGCTATATGATATAGAAGAAAAAATATTAACCAACTTAAGTCTTTAATATAAAAATAAAATATAAATAAAATAGACACTACCGACAGGGCAATTAACAGACGAAAATAATAGGTACTAACTAATTTAAAACTCTTTAAAATAAAATAGAAATAAAACCGACACTACCGACAAAGCATTTAACGAACGATGCAGACCTTTTTCTAGCGATAAACAGAATGATAATCTTCTTTTGAAAAATAGTGGCACATTTTTTGAATCTCATTTCAGTCCAAGATTTAATCTTAATGGTGTTAAAATAAACACAAACAAACAGGCCCTTGAACATTTCATCTCAAATACTAAACATTTCTAGGAAGTTTTGTCGATCACTACATATTTTACTTTTATTAACATTATTGTCTAAGTTCTTTTTTCCTTATTCATATTTATAAGAAAAGTGTCTAGTAAGATCTATTTTCTTAGTTGACCTCGTACGGAACTATTTAGGTTCCGCGGGAAAACTAAATTTAAAAAGTTAGACAATGAGAAGAATACTATTTAAATAAGGATAGAACATACCGCAAATTAGAACCGACTCGCGAGGCTGGTTCAAAAATGTTAACCAAATGGTTATAAGTGACGTCATTGTTTATGAAAGGAATATGGTTGGTTCTAATTTGGTTAACTAGAACCGGAACCAAACCCCAAAGGAAAATGCAATTTATAGATACGGACCAATGAACAGGGGCCCAATTCCTGACGCCTTCGTTAACTTATCGCATGCGATAACGTATGCGACTTGATGAAAGTGTATTCCTGAACTGGCGGCATTCGTCAAATTTATTAAAGTATGCGCTAAGAAATGATGATTTTCAAAGAGCGCTCATGACCGTTCGACAACTACTTTGTCGCATTCGTTTAGGTGAAAGTAAGGTTATAATTGTCAATTAATCCTGCTTTATCATATGTGATTCGTGTTTCTATCTATTGGTTTTGTTTTGTGATTTATTATTGGGAAATATTTATTTTTAATTTGACTCTATTGAACATTTTATTAGAATATAAAAATGAAACTTTTTGTACCGTGAACTCTTTTATTGGACGTTTAGGTGCCACTTTATTTTGGTTTATTTTATTTAGTATGGATGATATAGAAGAAATATGAGTTTTACAGGCACTAAACAATGTTATAAATTCTACTAAAGTTCCACGCAATTTTTCCGTTATTCGTGAACCACGCTGTTCCATTTTTAATATTCTAAATCTAAACCACTCCAATTCTCAAGTCCAAAATACAAATAATCACAGTTAAAACGTCTAAAAACCAAAAATTATTAGACATCCAATCCATTTAATTTTATAATTTTTGGCAATTTTGACATGTGTCAATGCAATTATCTCATATTCAGTGATACCATCTTTGGTATTCTCAATCCTCATTGGTTAAGACTATGCAATAATCAAAGACTCTTCGTTAACACGTTCGACTTGATTCGCGATTATCGCATGGTGTTCAGGAATACTAAATTGCTGTCGTATGCGTTAACGACCATGCGTTACTTAGCGCATGCGGCAGTTAACGCATGTTTCGAGAATTGGGCCCCTGGAGTGGGGTAGAAAGTTAATGTGCATATTTTATCAATTGAACAAGATGCGACTCTATGGGCGCAGCCATTTTTATTTCTCATCTCACTCGGGAGTATTTATAATAACCATTTTCTGTTTCACATTGTTATTGTTCAATCCACAGGCTGGTGGATCAGACAATAACAAAGTGAAATAGAAAATGGTCGTTATAAATACTCCCGAGTGAGATGAAAAATAACCTGTCTTCGCCCATAGAGTCGCATCTCAAGCCTATTGACAAGCATTCTACCCCACTCCAGTTCATTGATACGGACCAGGGGCCCAATTCCTGACGCCTTCGTTAACTTATCGCATGCGATAACGTATGCGACTTGATGAAAGTGTATTCCTGAACTGGCGGCATTCGTCAAATTTATTAACGTATGCGCTAAGAAATGATGATTTTCAAAGAGCGCTCATGACCGTTCGACAACTACTTTGTCGCATTCGTTTAGGTGAAAGTAAGGTTATAATTGTCAATTAATCCTGCTTTATCATATGTGATTCGTGTTTCTATCTATTGGTTTTGTTTTGTGATTTATTATTGGGAAATATTTATTTTTAATTTGACTCTATTGAACATTTTATTAGAATATAAAAATGAAACTTTTTGTACCGTGAACTCTTTTATTGGACGTTTAGGTGCCACTTTATTTTGGTTTATTTTATTTAGTATGGATGATATAGAAGAAATATGAGTTTTACAGGCACTAAACAATGTTATAAATTTTACTAAAGTTTCACGCAATTTTTCCGTTATTCGTGAACCACGCTGTTCCATTTTAAATATTCTAAATCTAAACCACTCCAATTCTCAAGTCCAAAATACAAATAATCACAGTTAAAACGTCTAAAAACCAAAAATTATTAGACATCCAATCCATTTAATTTTATAATTTTTGGCAATTTTGACATGTGTCAATGCAATTATCTCATATTCAGTGATACCATCTTTGGTATTCTCAATCCTCATTGGTTAAGACTATGCAATAATCAAAGACTCTTCGTTAACACGTTCGACTTGATTCGCGATTATCGCATGGTGTTCAGGAATACTAAATTGCTGTCGTATGCGTTAACGACCATGCGTTACTTAGCGCATGCGGCAGTTAACGCATGTTTCGAGAATTAGGCATTCCAACGACCTGTCCAAATGGCTACCAGTGGGTAATGACAGTTTAGATATGGCAACCCTGTTGTCAAGTTGTCATTAACAGGGTCAATGATACATATATAGTTCTATAGATTGCTCAAAGCTGATCGTTTACGAGCGACCATATTGCCTGACAAATATTTATTAATTTGAATCGGTTTAGCAAAAATGTGTTTTAAAACCAATTATTAGCCTTTAGATATCTAAAAAAAATAATTGCTTACATTTTTACTTCAAGGCATAAGCTTATGTTTATTTTGAAAAATATGGATGATCAATCTATGTAACTATCTATTTCATTGACATTGTCAAATCACCAGGCCTACAGGGTTGCCATAATTTTGCCATATCATCACCCACTGGTAGCCATTCAGTTTGGAATGCCTAATTGGGCCCCAGAGCTTATCTCTGATACGGACCTTAGTGGGAGAACTGTGAAGGAACCTTTCAAGTATAGAGAAAGTAAAAGTTGAAAAGTCTTTTGGTAGGTAGAGAGGGGGTAAACGTCAAACCACGTCGGGCGGCTCCGAGAATTTCGCAGTAATGTTTACCTGCCAGTGTCGTTTCATAGAATAAGTAATTTTAAATTGTTATCAGCGGAACCGGACAATTGCATGTATTTATGGATTATAAATAATTATTAAACATGTATTATAATATTCAAATCATAATTTTACAAAATTTCAACAGCTATTCACAATTTATTAAACTATTTACTCGAAATTGTTATTAACATCTATAAAATTATTTTGTACGCCAATGTATCGCGTCCACTTCGGTGAGATCCGCTGCCAACCTGTCAATTTATGTGTATAAAGTGGGAGAACTGGCAAAAGCATTTCCAACTTTTACTTCTGTTCTAGTGAGCCAAGTCTACCTACCGAATTTACAATTGTCATTATTGTCAAAAGTCAAAACAAAAATGTCATCATGTTGATGTCGATGATGTCACTAAAAAGTGTTTGCGGATAAACAATGTGTGCGCGTCGATAAGTTGTTATAATATTACGGTATTTATTATTTGACTAATTTTGGAAAACTATGTTTGTATGGGACTTGTATCTAAGATAAGTAGAAAAACTTACATCTTTTCCAATAATAGCTGCACAAACAGCCATATTTGCACGTACTTCTAACCAATCGTTCCATACACTACTTCAAAATAGATCGACCACATCAACATAGTTGCATTCCGTGCCTTTTGCGCACGTTGAAAATGCCCGAAGTAGAAATACTCTATGATGTGAAAAATCGTTCAGGAACTGTTGGAAACAGTGCATATGTCCGATTTATTAATAAAACAGAGAAAGTAGTCGAAATCGTTTGGTTAAATCACACAGGAAAGTACATAAGATACAGAATTTTAAAGAAAGATTATTTTGTTGATGTAAATACTTATAATGCCCATCTTTGGGTGGCATTTGATCATGAAACAAAGGATAGACTTCATATAGATAAGGAATTTGTGTATCATCCAAAAACGAGCAAAGAATTTTTCAAGCAAAAGTACCCAGATAGGGTCATACCAGAACATTATGAAGCAAGAATCAGAGCATTTATTACATTACCTCTTTACAGTTTGAGATACAATTCGCTCTTAACAATACGAAATTTACTAAAGACTTCTGAAGATGCAGACAAATTGGAGTTACCTACACAATTAATAGAAGATTTAAAGAAAGTGATAGTTCTAAGGAATAATTTAGCTTATACTCTTAATTCACAGGAGACTGATTAAATTATTATTGTTTAGACTGATTTTTATATGACTGGTTTAAATCTCCCATCAGAGTGTAAAAGGGAAGAGTATTATCAGAAAATGTGCTTTCATAAGAGTTCATCTTCATGACAATGTTTCTTTAGATATAAAGTTGATTTGAACTTTGTACATTTACCACCTTATTCACAAGCAATCTTTAAATAATGAACCTGTAAGTTACACTTGAAACTTGAAGGAATTTCTAATAGAGTTGGGTGATATTTCACAGACTCTTGTTTAATTATTGATATTTAAAAAATTTCTGCTGACATTGTTTACATGTTCTATCGATTTTATCAATGTTTTCAGAAAACTACTAATGGATATTTAATTTGGTAATGATTTGAGGAAACACCTCACTTATTTGAATTTCACTATTCACAGTAATGTTTCACAGTGTTTAAAAATCAGGATTATCACCTAACTCTACTTATTCTTTTAATTGACGTTACTAGTTTTAAGAATTTACATGTACTTACATATATGGAGATTCTTTGTAAATATAGATGATAAGAGAAAAATTCCCTGAAATGATTTTTGATTAATAACCTCAAGACCAGCAGGTAAACCATAGAAGTGCATTTTTAAGATCAAGTGGGATTAAAGAGCACATTTTTTTTGTAATGTATTTAATAAAATAATATTTTTTATCGCGATACATTTCTCTTAATGTTCAAATCAACATATCTATTTGTATTTTTATCATTTATTGTTACAAGGGGGCAGAAAGTATTCTATATATATATTAAATATAGGTTTTTCATATTTGTTCTCCTATATAGTATTAAAAAGAAGTGTGCTGTTGCAGTGAAAAATACTTTTTCCTTCTGAAAAGCCTTATTTAAAGTTTTAATAGTGTTAGTGTATTCTTATATCTTTGTAAATATTTACATTGTAAAATGTATATAATTTTAATAAACCGTTTTGCAAGTTTTTGTCTCATTTGTATTTTGACCAATGAATTTTGCTGACTTAGGTTTTTATATGGTCATTATTTCCATATTTCAAAAACATTTACATTGTCCTGTTCTTATGTTGAAGGTATTTGTAACAATTACTATTCCTAGTATTTATTTTGATTCCTTGTGTAATATAACTATAAAAAAAGTCGATTGGGAAAGATGTAATGGTTTGGACAAAAATTGGGTATCTTAAATGTTTATTCTCACATTTTATGAATGGTTCTTACAACGGCATGAATGTGATAAACATTTAATTTTATCCAGAGTTCTATGTATTATTTAAATTAGACCGGACCTTATTGGATATATTTTTGAAATAAATCAATGTTTTAGAGTTTTTTTGAAAAATTCGTTTAATTACTTCTATAGATAGTTAAAAAAGTTTAACTTAGCATTCACCTTGTATTATCCAGACCGAATTAAAGTTATTCTGCGAAAGTGTAAAAGAGAAGTTTTTGCAATTAAGTCAAAATAAATAACTTTTTTGCAAGAGCGGCTCTAGAGAGTGGGCCGCCCCCCTCCGAAAGTAATTTTTTGCAATCCATGAGCCTTTTTTTATTAAAATAAAAAATATGCTAAAAAGGTAATGGCTAATGGAATTGTCAACGGGCCACTCTTGCTTTCCTTTATCCATAAATGGAAAGTATGGGAATCATGTTTTTTTTTTTTCGACCTCGGGTGTTTGATAGATATTTATGTTTTTGGGGTCCCCTGAATCCGGTTTGATAATTTTTAGCTATGTCTATCTTTGTGTCTGTATCCACAATAACACAAAAACGTATAAAAAAATATTTAAAAGTTAAGCTTTAATCCATTCTGCGGCAAGCTGATTAAATTTTGGGTATAGTCTAAGCATCTGGGGGGTACTGGATGGTACTTTTAAGGTATATTTCTGTTATTTATGATTGAAGAACAACATTCTTTTAACAGTTGTTTGTGATGTTATTTTCTATAATTTTTGTTCTATACATGATTCTCTAAACTCTACCGTAATTGAGAAATTTGAGGAAAAGTGCAAAATTTGAATATTTAAGTGTTTTCGTTGAAAATGAAGATATAAACAATTGTTTTGAATTATTTTTCTTTATTTCATACTGTAAACACTTATTTATTAGATGAGCCATACCTACTCAATATATATCTTAGAACTTTACTGAAAAGTCATCTGCTAGCCATTATATCTTTTTTTGTATTTAAAAAGCGAACAAAATTAAATTATATTCTAATTCTAAATACTTGGTGAAAAACAACAAAATCTTCATTTTCTATATAACATCGCTACTTGTCTATATAAGCGTTGGTTCAATTGACTGCAAATGGGAATAAAACATGCTAAATAAACTAGACCTGTAGATACCAAGGGCAGCATGCAGTATAGGGTTGCCACATTTCCGGAAATGAAAAGCGTGGCACCCGTGACGATAGAGCATTTTTATATAATCAATAATTCCACTAGTAGGTACTACGTGCGAATAATAAATTTAAATGCATTTTATCTAATGTTCATTAAATTATTTTTCGCCCCTATCATGAAGATGGTTTTAAATAGAAATTGACAAAACATATTTATTTTTAGTACATTGCCTAAATACGAATTGTCATGTTTGTAGCCTTCTCGATTATTGACATTCAACAAACGTCTAGGTATTCAAGTGAATTGTACAAATCTACAGGTTCCATTCGAGATTGAAATCGAGAATGTCTATTTCTTGCTGAGGAGTCCTAATAAGGACGAAACCGATCCAAGAATGACGTTTTCATTAGTAAGCAAAATCAGAGATAGCGTCTTGAAATTTATTTTCTATATCTGCTGTCTCCTTAAAGATAACGGATGTCGAGGTATTAGCCAGAGGATTTTTTTTTTCTATAGGGAAAAGGTCGCTGGTATATTTTGTGTGGTATTGTTTTTGAGATTTCTTGCTTGGTTATTTATTTATTTATTCAAATAGGTACACTACAGAATTACTCTAAATGGTACACAAAATTAAAATATACATATATGTCAAATCAATCGACTCGGGTCATGAAAATACCACATAAAGAAAAAAACAAGAAAAGCGAGACGACGTAAAATCGCATTAAAATAAAATACATCAATAAATGCTCTTTGTCCATAATTGGTTTTGTGTCTTCTAATAAAAAACAATGAAGTACGTGAATAGGTGCCAAAAAAGTAACAGATTGTAATAGGTCACTATAGTCTATTTTTATGTATGAGAGAGTAATAAAACAGCATTTCTAATGCAAAACTTAGTACGGTCATTTTAAATATTTTTACAGAATAATCTAAATATTTCCTAAAATTGTAATAAATGTACCTGAGCTATTACAAGTTTTGGGTCTTTTATTGGTCCTTTATAAACATAAGCTGTACAGAACAATAGAAAAAGGTTTGGACAGGCCAAAAGCCCTGTGTATTAAAGATTACATAGCCGTATCTTAAGATTATTTTCAATAAGTACCTATTTGCCAATTTCGTTTTATTTTAATTCCAAGAATTTCTTACAGTAATCGAATTATAAGTAGATAAATACCTTCCCAACAAATTTCACCGAAAATGCGATTATAGGTTTTCCATTTAGTAAGGAGGTCGAAGTTGTGTATTCTTGACAGTTTACTAAATGTCGTTAACTTGCAAAAGGTGCAGTGTGAATTCTAGTTAATGAAAAAACAATAATATTTAATTGTTTTAAATCATTTACAGACAAACATTTATGTAAAAGTGTTGATGACACAGTGGAATTAGTTAGTAGTACGCTTGGTGTTGGGAAATCTACGATTTACAGAGTTGTTAAAGAAGAGAAATGTGGCGAGTTTCAAACAGCACGTAAAGCTCCAGGAAAACCAAAATTTCAATTAGAAAATCTTTTGAAAGAAATACTTCGAAGGAAAGTGCATGCGTTTATCTTTAGAAAAGAATTTCCGACAGTAGACAAAGTTCTTGCCACGGTTCGAGATGATAAGGATTACCCTGAAATGAGTCGAAGCACACTATGGAAACTTTTAAAAGAAATAGGTTTTCTATGGAAAAAGCATTCCAGAAAGTCTATTTTAATAGAAAGAAGCGATATTGTAGTATGGAGAAGAAATTACCTAAGGGACTATAAAAGAAATGAGAAACCAAAGAAGAAATATATTTTATTTAGATGAAACATGGATCAACGAGGGACATAAGCCAAATAAATTTTGGAAAGATGAAACTGTTACAAGTCGAAGACATGCTTTTTTAAATAATTTATCTACTGGTTTAAATCCACCATCAGGAAAGGGGCGCAGACTAATAATAGTACACATCGGTAGTTCAAACGGTTTTGTTAAAGGTGGTTTATTGACTTTTGAATCTACTCATACCGGTGACTACCATGAGGACATGAATGCTGATGTCTTTAAAGAGTGGTTCGAACAAATTATAGATCTTCTTCCTCAGAACTGTATAATAGTAATGGATAATGCAAGTTATCACTCGAGACTTATAGAAAAAATGCTCACAACCAAGTGGTTAAAAAAAATGTTTACAGAATTGGCTAAATTCAAAGAATATTAAGTTCCATCCCGGTTCTGTGAGAAAAGAACTGTATCATGTGTTCCCTTCATAAAGATAAATTCAAAAAATATGAAATTGCACAAAAATCGTGGGATGACGGTGGTTAGATCACCACCATATCATTGCGAAGTAAACCCGATTGAACTGATATGGGCACAGATAAAGGGAGAAGTTTCAAGAAAAAATAATTCTTTTAAAATGAGTGATGTTAAACAGTTGTTTTTGGAGGCTGTAAATAATGTGAAGCCTGAAAACTGGGAAAAGGCAGTAAATCATACGATTAAAGAAGAAGAGAAAACGTGGAAGTTGGACAATATTACTGATGAAATGATCGAGCCACTCATTGTAAATATTGGTTGCGACAGTTCTTCTTCTGATTTGGATTTGCAGGTAAGTAGTTTTTATATTAAAATTATTATTTATGAACGTAACGTTGTTTAAAAGTCAAAGTTTAAACCCTTATAGCTACATAACCCGTTTGACACAATGTTCTTAACATACCTTGTGGAAAAATAAAACATTTTAGAAAAATTGCACTTTTTACCTTCAGCTGTTTAGAAGTTATAAGCAGGTTAATTAAGTTAAAATATAAGTGTATACTCGAGGAATAACTTCAAAAAATATTTTAACTGTCTACTAAAAGAAGTGGTACGCCTATGGATTACGAACGCTTTATTATTTTAATACTATCTCATACATAAAAATAGACATTAACAGTCGATCTTAGCGTCAATTGATATAGAAACAACTAAAGCATGCATTCTTCTCGTTTCTAGGCTTTGCATACCACATAAAAGTAGCCTCTCTCGTAACTAAAGTTTTGGTAGGGAAAGTGGTGTTTAAATAGGACATAGTGAACTTACGCTGAACTCGTTCTATCCTCTCTATGTGGCAGGTATAGTTAGGATGCCATACGACAGAGCAATATTCAAGAATGCTTTTAACAAGTTTATTAAATAATATTGATTGCTTTAGTATCATACATATGTTGGGTATTTCTTTTAATAAGGCCTAGCATCCGGAAAGGTTTACAAATAATGGAATCAGTGTATTCTTGAAAGGACAATTCCATATCAAAGATCATCCCTAGATCATTAACTTATTATGACGTTTTGCAGCACAGTATCATTAATCTTGTATTGGTTTAGAGAAAGGGTGAAAGCTCTAGTGAACTGGATAGTTTTGCATTTACTGGTATTTAATGAGAGATGGTTCACCTTGCACCATTCATTTAACCTTTCTAGATCACCTTGAAAGGCAGTATTGTTATGTGTGACTGTACTGAAAATTTTTAGATCGTCAGCATATGAAGACAAGTACTGTAGTACTGTTTACTATTAATAATAGTAATTAAAAAAAAGTATAAATAAAATATCAAATAAATAATAAAAATATTGTGAGAAAAGGTAAAATCTTGTAATATTATAAAAATATGTCAATAAGTGATGCCTAAAATTAGTAAGTGAATGAGCACTTTTCGTATATATTGGTAGTTTGTTAACCTTTACCAACCACAGGGCTTTTTCCACTGCTACTAAAGGTTTGTATTATAAGTGTAGACTTGAAAATACTATTTGGTTTTATTTACCATGTAGGCGCTTTTTTTTTAATTAAAATTAGTATTTGAAAAAAAAAATCTTTGACTGAAAGCCATCTCAATGATTTTAGCACTTTCTTATCTACTACAAGAATGAATGATTATCAAGATATATGGTACTCTCCTTTATTGGATTTAAAAAAATGGTAAAACGCATATTTATTTTGAAAGCAGAATCTAATTACTAACCTTTCGGTTTTTAATATTTTGCTTTTGAAATATAAATGCCCTTAAAAGCTTATTTCTTCCAAATTTAACACTCTAAATAGTTAAAAGTTGTTGAGCCAGTCACTTTCCTTTGTAGATCAAATGAAACACAATGTCAATACAAAAATAATTATATTCTGTATTTGTATGACGATCGGACACATAACATGATTCTTTATATAAATCCAACAATTAAAATGTCGCATAGTCGAAGTTTTTTCTACACTTCGAAATAAATCAAACGTTGGGTTGATAAATTTCAAAAAACTAACAATTTTGAAAAAACTCCAAGTATTTGTTTATAAATAAAATAATTTAACATGTCCAAATATTTACACGAAATATACAATAATAAATATTTAAATAAAATATAATTTGTTGCACATAATTGGATAATCTTTAAAAGGAACATCGACATAATTTCACAGGTATAAATTAAGTATTAAAACAAAAATAATATTTTTTTAAATATTTGTTTCATTTAGATTGCAAAAACGCTTCTGTTAAACAGCTGGTTTTCTACGGCCCCTGAAAAAAGAAACGGAAAGAAATAAGATTAAAAATCGTTTGTGAGAAAAGTAGGTTTAGATATCAACATTTTCTATTTCTACAGGACCAGTAGGGTTGAGTATGGGATACTTGAAAAAAATGAAGAGGTAAATTAAGGTCATCTTCACTCTGCCTCTAACTGCCTTCTTCTCACAGTCCCTACTCTACCAAATTATGGGGCGATTGTAGTTTCCATTCTTAATTTATCTCTACATGAATTATTTAAGACAAAGATTAAAAGAAAAATGTTAATGTCATTTAAATATTTCTAATGATTAATTATATAACAGAAATAGTAGTTTGTGCAACTCAAGTGATAAAAACGACACTTCCCACAAACACAAGCAAGTTGGACGCAATATCGTGGTCAAAACCGATTTGTACTTGTAAGAAAAAATAACCGCACAAGAGTAATAATGAAATTTGACTGCGTCATGACAATGCATGGCCCCACGTCCCTCAAACTGTAGTAGATTTCCTGAATGTTTGTAACATCTCAACAATGCCCCATCCACTACAGTCCAAATTTGGCTCCTTGCGACTTTTGGCTGTTCCCTGAAATCAGATTTCCTTCAAGAGACGGAAATTCAAGACCAATTCAAAGTTGTAAAGGTGTGCTGCAAGAAGCTCTAGCGTTTGCGTTTAAAAAAGTGGCAAGAACGGTGAAAAAATGTATTCGAACCGTTACTTCGAAAAAGAGTATGAAGATTTGGAATACTGAATAAATATTTTTTTCTGTACAGTATTACTTTTTGAACAAACCTCGTATTAAAAACCATATCAGCGCAAATTGTTGCATAAAAAACTTTTTATTACAACAAAACTAAAAAGACAAATTTATTGTATAAACTTAAACTGTTTAAATTTCATAATACATTCATCAATTTAAACATAAAATTTTACAGACTGGCCCTGTGTACAATAGACACCTGCACTCAAACCCTCGCATTTAAAAAAAATCAAAACTTCCATTACTTGGTCACTTAAACAACATTCCAATACATATGAGGTCTTTCAACTCGCAGCGTCTTGCCATACAACACTCAATAAAGTTAAAAATAATTTCAAACGAATCTTTGCTTGATGATGTTATGCGCTCGTCAGTTGGACAAGTCCATTCTACAATAACAAGGGGAGTACGCATGAACCAACGAGTTGTCTTTTGACATCCGACCACATGACATCGTTTTCGTCTCTCGCTGTTCACTTGGCGAACCATCAACAGGCCTTCCATAGGCAAATATCCTTTACGTTAATCGTTACAGCACTTGTCGCTTTTCGTCTGGTCCTTTATAAAAATAGCGTGGTAAAGTACATCGTTTTCTTTAAGTTATTGTATATATGTAGATAAATGTGTAATCGCTCTTAACAAGCGAATTAAGTCAATGTACCATTCATCAGTGTTTGGTTTCCTGGACAAGAAGTTTATCTTAATGGTTCATAACTACAGTACACACCCGTACCGGCCTAAGCCGATGAAGAAACAGGGGGCAAACCCCCAAGAGTTTACAAGAACTAATCAATATTCATGTTTAAACATTTTATGGATCTTCAAATTTAGTGTATTTTAAGCACTGCTTACTCAATAATCCTTTTTTTCTACACCCACATGTGAAATCAACCAGTGAACATATTCAGAGTGAAAGGAAGTCTGGACGCCTAATTTTCTTAAAAATAGGCTGTCAGAAATGCTCACAAAATTTGAGAATTGGGGATTTAACGATTCTGTCTTATTCTTTGTACTTTTCCTGACGACTGTTTTTCTGATAATATTAGTCACTTTGGTATTTTAAATGCCAAATAATATCATGAAATCTTAGGTGTGACATATAACAGCAGATCTTACTGGACAAAGACGGCAAGAAGACATATGAGTGTCATCAATCCAGCAGAAGAAGCAACATTGTGCAGGTTATGCGAAGAAGAAACATCAATCTACGTCCTGTGTTAGTGCGAAGGCCTGGCTCAATTGAGATTTCTAACACTAGGTGAAGAAGCATGTAACTACATGCGGGAGCTACTGTCTAATAAAAAAAGACCAAGCTAGACGACATACTCTAAATAACGGAGTCCCACAACCTGAGTGACATTGTTGAACTAGGAATTCAGAATAGAATCAAAAATGAATCAACAAAAGTTGCATTAAAAAAAGCAAAGTGAACAATATTATCGGAAAAAACTGTAAATCTGACAAAGCAAATAAAATAGGAATCGGCATGTCGTTAAACCCAAAAATTTCAAATTTTGTAGATTTTCGAGAAAATTAGATATTCCAGACATTTCTTCCACTTTGTATGTCTCAAATGTGATACAGTTAAGACGATCTTACAAATTCAACAAAATCTATGATTTCATTATCCTCCGTGTATCTTAGAACCAGCAACATCATGTTCTCTACTTAAAAACAGTAAAACTTAAATAGTTTGTGATCAGTCACAAAGAAAGAGTTTTTTGATGAAAAATAAATTATTTTATCATAATTTGCTGGTAACCTAAATTTAATACTTTGGGTGAACATTTTATCCTTGCACATCACACAAAATTAAAAATTATAGTCAATAAAGAATTAATTATCTACCTAGGTCTGGGCCTAATGCCCTCCCATCCATTCTCCTTTGAGAAGAGATATGACCGCCACTGGTGTACAAGAATAATACCTATATTAACCCTCCGATTCCCGAGTGGCGTGTGACAGACGCCACTCTTATTAACAATGCACATAACTTTTTAAAATAGTGAGATGGTGATTTGTCCTTCCTTGTACCTTCTTTAATACGTGTACCAGATATGTGTAGTAGAAAAAAATCGCATGAACAAATACAAGTTAAAGCAATGCAATAATTCTATATGGCTCGAGCATGCAGAATATATATGCCAGTCATGTAGTTTCAAAAGATATCGCGTTTGGGGATTTGTTTTTTTTTTTTTTTTTTATTTTTGTTATAATATTCTAATTATGTTAAGAAGTTATCTGTATATTTCAATAATTTAATTTATTTTGTTCATATGTTTAAAAATGTAAATTATGTTATATTTATTACATATTTATTTTACTGCTGTAATAACGAAATTTTTGTTTGCGAATTTGAACTAAAACATTAAATTATATATTATGAGTAGTATGTAAATTATTTAAATAAAACTTTTAGCATATATTTTCATTTTATTCTTATGACTTAATTGAATGGCGTCTCACAGACACCACGAGGGTACTCTTGTTTTGAAATTGAACGCGGGTGACAGAGGGTTAAGTTTTCTAGAACACTGTACATAAAACATCTAATTACTTACTTTTTTTTATAACAAAAAACAGTAATTTTCAAGAAGAACTTTGGAATCCTTTAGGATTCTTCTTCTGCCAATTCCATGTATCTCTACACATATCTTTTACATCCCTGGTAGCCACCCAGTTTAGCTCTTGCTTAGCCAAAGTGGCATCTGCATAGCAAGAGGCGATATCACCCTCTCTTCTGCCTACAATCTCATAGTTGATCTGTTTTCCGGAAGCCTCTGAAAAGGCTTTTACTATTTCTAAGACAGAGTAACCACGGCCTGCAACAAATTTTATTTTTTTAGATCAATTTGTCAGCAGAGGCCATGAAAACATATTCCACATGCAAAAACAGTTTTGAATACCTGTGCCGAGGTTGTAGGCTTTCCAGGATTTAAAAGTTGGCGAGTACATGCGTTCTAAGGCTTTAAGATGGCCAATAGCGAGATCTGTAATATGAATGTAGTCTCGGACTCCTGTTCCATCTAGAGTAGAATAATCTGAGCCAAAAACTTGAAGTTTTTCACGACGACCTACGGCTACCTGGAATAAGAATTTAAAAATGCCTTAATCTTGATATTTCAATTTTTATTAAATTAAATTAATAAGTCTAGACCTTTTAATATTCATATTTAATCAAGATACCTACAACAATAAAACTAAATTTTAATTAAAATATTTTAACCTTGACGGCTTAACGTTTATTGTAAATATAAAATGAAAATACCTTCATATCTAAGATTATAAAATATAACTCTATAAACAGCTTGTAAAATTTCTTATAGACCGTCAGCTAGTGGTAATTCTGATTGTATCTCATATGCCTTTTGAGGGATTCGATCATTATGAATTTACCTATTAGAGCATGGTAACTAGCCTTGCCCTAGATACAGATCTGGACTTTGTCAAAAAATAAGCATCTTGGGACAAAACTGCTGCCGTACGTGTAAGTCATGGCCTAAGGGCTTAGATTGATCTGTACATTTGCAAAAAAATATTTGTTTAATAATTTCAGTTTCAAAGCTGGAATTTTTTATTTGAACTTATCATATTATGAATAAAAATTAGATCCGAAAATAGACTGTATATTATTTAATTGTAGTATCTTAAAAAATTAACTTTTATTAATTGTAGGTACACGAAACAAAAACATTCGTGAAAAATATTTACATGTTGACGAAATATGAATTAAGAAGAAACTCTTTAAATTATTTTTAATCCAAATATAAATTGTTTAAAATGTAGTGAAGATTAGAAAAGTCATAATACATGTACCTACAGATGCAATTCCACTATATTTTTATACTAAACAAATATTTGTAGAAATTCCACTACATAAAAATATATTATTTTTTAAGGAAAATAACTAACCTGTGAAATATAAGGCATTAAATTATTAGGAATTCCTGAGGGATCTTCTCCTATGAGGCCAGATTCATGAGCACCAACTGGGTTAAAATATCTTAATAAAATGACTTTCCAATCCTGAAAATAATTAATAATTATATACAGGTAACTCACAGTAGACTGCAACACTCCAGTAATTTGTTTATATTATCGATTTAAAAAATTAGTTTCAGCAGAAACATTTCATTCACCCATCATTCGTATTAGTGATTTTTTATAAAAAAGTTGTCCAGAATCGTTTAATTAAACTAAATCCAAAATTTCAATAAAAACAACAAATACTGAAAAATTTCTCTTGAAGTCCAGAAACATCTCACAGGTTTTTTAAATTTTATTCTGAAAAATTATGGCCAACTTGTGAGCATTATTCGAATTTTCTTGACTTTTTCAAGAGAGATTTTCAATATTTTGGTTTTTTAATAAAATTTTAGCCTATTTGAACGATTCTGAACAACTTTTTATATAATAGTTTTTGCTAAAAGAATCCCACATTTGGCTCGGCGATTTTGTTTCAAAATACGACGTAGTGCTCTCATATTTCATTTCATAGTTCTACCCAAATTTGATTTTTCTTGAACTGCTCCTGTCGTTTTATATAATTTGACGATATTTCGTACAGTATAGCGTGATAATTGCAGTTGTTTAGCAATTTTAGCACCATAATTACCAGCATTGTATGAATTGACAATAACTTTTGTTTTAACTCAAAGTGACTATAAAAAAAGCTATTTTTTTAATACATGGACCATACGAAATGATTAATTGATATCTTATTTAATTTAGTATCCTATGCATATCTCTAATTTTCTATTATTAATTTTTATAAAAGATGTGGACAAACATGTCTCAAATTATATTAAAAATATTTTGATTAAATAGATTTTTCTTTTGTGTTTACCAATGTTATCTATAATAAAGTTAAAAATATACTATTGAATGGGCCAAATGATATGATTCTGGACTCGTAGATAGAATACGTCGTGAATAAATAATAGTTTAGAAAAACTAAAAAACACGCTTTATAAGAAAAGCAAACTAAAAAGTAGAATATAATTTTCAATAAATTTAAATTAAGAATAGTGTGATTAACAAAAAAACATATTTTATTGTAGAAAAGCGTGGGGTGCTTTTTAAGATATTTCCATAATGACTCTACTTTTACCAATAACTTTCATTAAAATATTATAACAAATGACATCAACACTATTCTACAAACTTTTTTATTCAATTTCCTTTATACAAATATACCTCCGTTCGTATTCGCTCCGTGCGTGATAGCAGCGGCAATTCATTTAGGTACTAATGGACTATTTCTGCGTATACTTACAATACAATTTTTACTAGAATTCGTAATTAAAAAGAATATACACTCTGCACAAAAATTAGCGCATCACTATTAAAAGTGACAAAAAGTTTTTCTTTATTTGATTTTTCGATATATTTAAGTATTGGGACACCCTGTATATTAGTTTTGGATACTTACATGTAAACATGGATGAGTTTTTTTATGTGTAAATGTTTTTGTAAAATAAATACTAACTCTTTGAAATTGCAACCAACTTTCGCGATCAGTTGCTTTCAATATTTAGTAAAGTTAACTTGGTTTTTGTGGTATTTAATTTTGAAAATTATTAAAATGAATAATCCTGACCGCCAGAGAAGAAATTTGGGACATGACGAAGTGGTTAGAATCATTACATTACTTGAAGAAGAACGTAGTCAACGTTACATTGCAAATACTTTTGATGTTCAACAATCAACAATTTCCAGGGTAGCTGCCCGGTTTAGAGAAACAGGGCAATACGACAGAAGGACTGGCCAAGGTCATCCAAGGGTTACCACAGCAGCAGACACCCGATTTTTAACATTAACCGCTCTTCGAACTAGACACTGTACAGCGCGAATGCTCCAAAACGAAGTAGCCGTTGCCCGCAACACAAGAATTTCTGTGCAAATAATATGAAATCGTCTTCAGGAAGGAGGAATTAGAGCCAGGGTGGCGGACTTGTGTCCACGCCTTACCAGGGAGCATCGTGTCGCATGGTTGGAGTTTGCCAGAATTCATGTGAATTGGGATATAGACGATTGGTGCAATGTTCTGTTTTCTGATGAATCTAGATTCAGCCTATTTTCATCTGATCGACGAATTCCAGTCTACAGGCGTGATGGCGAACGATACTTTCAGTGTAACATCAGAGAAACGAAATCTTTTGGTGGTGGCTCTGTTATGATGTGGGGAGGAATTTCTTTTGCGGCTCGTACAGAGTTAGTACCAGTTGTGGGAGGAAATTTAACAGCTGCAAGATATGTAACGGACATTCTTGAACCCTATGTTGTACCTTACGGTCCATTCATTGGTGACAACGTTCGCCCGCACACAGCTTTAATTGTTCCTCAGTACCTTAACGAAGTTGGTATTCCACATTGGATTGGCCAGCTCGAAGTCCTGTTTTAAATCCAATAGAGCATGTCTGGGACAATTTATCACGATAAGTACGAAATCGACCAATTGTTCCTAACACCTTAAATCAACTTCAAAATGCTCTAACCGAAGAATAGGACAATTTGCCGGAACAATTGATGCAAAGCCTGATTTTAAGTATGCCACGTCGATGTCTGGCAGTACTTAGAGCCCGGGGTGGTAATACAAGGTATTAATTTTGTTTTATTTATCGATTGCACCCAAATTACATTTTTTAAATTTGTAAAAAATCGAATAAATTTATTTGGTACCTTCTTAAGTTTTATTTTTTGGCCATTATTGCATACAAATAGTTCCTAATTTATAAGACACCAAACTTTAAAAAAAAAAAATTGCAAAAATTTTACGTTTTGTAAGAAAATTGAACTGATGCGTTAATTTTTGTGCGGAGATTAGTTTTATTAAAAGTATATGGATTTGTAAAACAAGTAAAACATTAATTTATTATTATTATATATTTTTATGGCTTAAATTAAAAAAAATATAAGTAAAATCAAATAAAAATTCTGTCAAAATAAAAAAATACCATTAAATAATAGCGTGAAGTTAAAATGTATAAACAGAAGGATTGTTATTTATAATTTCATTTTTGTTCGAAAGAAAACAGAAAGTCACAAAATTGCATTCCAGCCACATACAATAATCAACGGCAGAAATCTTGAAATCTAGTCCTTGCTGAACATTTAAGAATAAAGGGATGTTGAAGAACATCGTAAAATTATAATTTATTGTTTATTTAAAACCTTTCAAGTTTCTGATGTCTACTATTTCCAGTATTACTGTTATTATTACAAAAATAAAGGTAATTTTTCTTCTTATTGTAAACCCATCTATTTATTTCTTTGATTTAATTTCCACTTTGCCAGTGAAAATTTTTATAATTTTCACTGTTTTTTTTTTGCTAGTATTTTTACAATTTTCAACACAGCAACTCCGGTTTCTTATTGTATTGTTTTTATCTACTTTTTTGAAAAAAAAAAAGTAAAATGTATACATGTATTTGATATGACAAAGTTACAAAATATCGCTCTAAAATGCACGAATTATCCGCAGCTAGCGCTAGTATCGCTTTTGCTTCCCCTACCATGATTTGGCACTGAGCGAATATATTCATCCATATATTAGGTTTTGTTTGAATTGAATTAAAATATTCGTGCTTAACTTTTTTGAAATTGTTTGTTTATAGAAAACCGAGTCGTAAACCACTAAGGTCAAAACGCATCGTATTTCGGGAATCAACCCCTAAAATTGAATAAAGTTTGATGAAAAGTTACCACAGGGATAACATATACGGTATCGGATTTGGAAAATCGCTAATCCTAAAGGTCCTGTCAGGATAATGGGAAAAACTATTTAAATTATTGCATTGTCATCGGTCCTTGATAAGTGTGCAACGTTTCAAATCAATCTGACGTTTTGAAGGGGGTGAAAATCACGTTCAAAGATTCCGTTACATAGATACATACTTAGCTAAAAATAGATCACTTTAAATTTTGTGCTGTTTTGATTTATTTTAAAATGTAATATGAAGAGATGTAGACACAATTTTTTTATATAAGACGAGGCAGAACAAATTGTGACTTCCTTTTTTAGGGCTCCACTCCTTTAAGTTTATTTATTTTAGAGTTTAATATATCGGCCGGTCTTTTTAAATTGTTGGTAGGTATTATTCACCTAATTTTGTATGTATTTATTTAATTTGAATAATAATTTTGTGTAATATCTTGTGATTTGTTTTCTATAAGTTTCAGCATATATTTGTACGCTACATCTTACATAGGATAAGATTTGAAATACCTTTAAACAGAGGTACTTTCCTAAATCTGGCCGAAATTTGAAATCAATTGAAGCTCCTACAGCAACTCTCCACTAAAAAACAAGCATTTGTTTGTCTGCATGCAGAATGACTGTAGAATAGGTTAACAAAGCTGACAAAAAAGATAAACCTTGGTCTAGCTTTGTTAATATTTCAGGGCAATAGTGTTAACAGCAGACCACGACAAGGAGAACCAAAGTTTAACAATCAATCAAAATATATCAGAATCTCCAGAATTATAAACTTATGAAAATTATTATAGGAAACATATGTATGGCTTTGAATAGGAAATTACCCAAATTAGCATGTCTAGAGAATATTACATCTAAAAATATATTTTTAATCAAATATTAAACTTTTGGGCTTCTATTTCAATATTAACCATACAGAAATACATATGGATTATATAGGATTAAGTAAGATACATTATCAATTGTACCCACAATTCATAAACATTAAACTAAAATAAACCAATTTCAAATAACACCTGTTTTTATTATTTAAATAAAACATGTTAAATATATGTTCTTTATTAAATACATAAATGAGTTTATCAGAACTCAACCACACACATTTTTTTGTAATTCTAGTGGCAACGTATACATTTAAAAGTCTTTCGGGTTTATTATTTAAAGAGACCAGCTACAACAAAATACTACTACTAATTTTACAGCACTTTGTTTATAGGAGAGATCTATCCAGCTCTTTTAATTAAATCACATATTTAAAACATTTAAATTAAGTAATTACATTTTCATATTTCACTTATGTATTCTTAAT